GGAATAAATTATGGGTAAGGTTAGGTTTAGGGGTAGGGATTGGGTTAAGTCTATATTTTTGGACATTAATGTTGATCCAGGATCATCAAAGATGTTGATCCAGGATCATCAAAGATGTTGATCCAGGAACATGTCTTACTTGGCAAAATCACAGCGACCCATTTACTACATCGAATCCATTGGTGAGCAAGTGATGTAATGCTAAAATTCTCCAAATCCGTTCTGATGAAGAAACAAATTAATCTGCAATATCGTGGATTGCCTGAGGGCGAGTACATTCAACTATTCCTTTAAAGGGCAATGATTTCTGGTTATCACTGAGATGTCTAAGGGCCTGTTTACACCTGGTCATTTCATGCGTTTTCGCACCCAATCTCATGAAAGTGCATATAAATAGTACGCCAAATAAAAACGAAAACTTGTGGTATTGATACGCAAAAATTAACTTTGGCGTGTATATGCTACGCGAAAAGTGCATATAATAATTAATGTTCAAAAAGCACATTATTGTAGGTCCTCTATGCCCCGCTCTCAAACGCTTCGTTTTCTACAAAGTCCCTCCTTCCGACAAACATATAAATCCGAACCTCGATTCCCGTGCTATATTTAAGTTCACGTCAACGAAATCAAAAGATAAGCGCTGCATTTTATTAATTATCAGCTCCTTTCAAGATCAAGGGGCGCAATAGGAGAGCTGGAAAGAACTGGAAAGATAGGTTAGTCGCACTACTTTTAATGAGCAGTTTGCGCATCGGCTTGCTGAAGAGATACTCAGCTACTTGTCCGCAGCGATGCATGTTGCATTAGCGCAGTGGCATCCATTAGAAGGATCTCACACCACCTGTGTCTTAGCCCTAGAGAGCCATTAAACTATTGTTCTTCTACTACTGAGCACCGCCAGCCAGAGCAATCAACCTTTGCTGACATCTGACTTCCTAATCAAATGAGTATAGAGTTCGCAGGATAGTTCCTCCTTGTCTTTAGATATAAATTAATGATTGGGTGAGGTGTATTAGAGTTTAAACAGCTGGAGTCAAAGGGGATTTCCTTCTTTGTTACAACGCAATACTCTTGAGATGACTTTTAAACAATTACTCTTATTCCACTGGTGTATACAGATTGTTATCTGATATACAGTATTTGTGCAGAATAATGTCAGTAGCCTAATATTAATGATGATAAACGTGTAAGAGGTCAAGATCGATGATGGGAACATAGAAAAAGGATAGAACACTCACTGCTCCCTCTCCTGGTCTCCATAGGCTCTCAGTGCGTCCATGAAAGAGGGCCCCTGATCCGGGCTCTGCTGCTTACGGGGCCGGCAGGAGTTGGGAAGATGATGTTGCTCCATGCCCTGTGCACCGAGACTGGGGCAAACCTATTTGACCTCTCCCCTTCAACACTTGCTGGCAAATATCCAGGCAAAAGTGGACTGCAATACCTCCTTCACATGGTCTTCAAGGTGAGGTGAAATCATCGGAGGCCTCTCTCAAAATACCTCCTGGGAATATAGAAAGCCAAGATTCCAATGTTGAAACCCCATAGGCTTCTTTTAGCTCCATGTGTCTTAAAACCTGATCTAATCAACATATGTGATTGATTGCTGTGCATGTACTGTAGCTTTGCATCAGGATTTATATATCTTCTAAAATGGAGTGAAACGTCAGGCTTTGCGTGATGGTTTTCTGTTTATGAGAAATATTCTGGCATGACTTCCAAACATAAACACTAATGCAAATGGAAAAACGTTCCTCTCTGTGTCATCATGGTAACAAAATACTTTTAAAAAGACGTTGTTTACTTGATGCTTAACATTTCAAGAAGTGTTTAGTACTGTACATAAATAAACTCGCGTGTTTAACCTAGAAGGCCAAAACTGTATCCCCACATTACCTCTTCCCTTTAGTAATAAAGCATAGACAGCTCATATCAATAAAACGCTGTGAAATTTGTGCTGTTACCCACCAGGATAGTTTATTGTGGCCATATTTGTGTCCTTAAGAGAGGGAAATACCAAGCTTGGAAGTTCTACTTGAAGAACTGTTCCTGAGAGCATCTGGCACAGCAGATAAACTGTGTGAAAAGATTCTGCGCTCAGCATTGTGTTGGATGGTGGTCTTTCTGCACCTCTCCTAATGCATACTGGGAATAAAACCAGGTGCCAACATGACTTCCTGCTCACTTAGCCCTTTTTAGATGAATCACTTCTCCAAATTCTTGCCCAATGCAAAGCTCTCTTGTTACAAACAGTAGATGAAGGTTTCATTTAGGGAATTTTGTTTGTAGGTACTGTTCCTTCTAATCTGTTTTTGACCGCATACACTTCTGATGTTGCTGCTGTGGAGGCCAAAATAAATCGGACTAAAACAAATCTGCAAATCCAGAAGGCCAACTCAAATATGTGTGGGAAAAAGAGCTAGTGTTTTCTTGAATTACAGCTAAATGAATGAGGCGCGTTTTAACTGGAGTCAATCCCCATATCCATCGGTTTTCATTATGGAACTCAATCTGTGAAATCTTGTGTGAAAATATGCAGTGTAAAGAAAATACTACTATAGCATATTAACACTTACTACAGAATATACTATGTATACTATAGTATGAAGATTTTATGCATGCAGAACACCAGAATGACCTTCTATTTTTAGCTGTTTGATGCCAAGGATGTATGATGGCAAATATGATGATCCCCCCTTCCTCTAAAATACGAAGGCAGCTAGATATTTTCATGTATAAAAACCTATATATACAAACCTGTGCATATAACAATAATATAAACATAAAATTACTAATATGTGACCCTGGACCACAAAACCAGTCTTAAGTCGCTTGGGTATATTTTTAGCAATAGCCCAAAAAAAACATTGTATGGGTCAAAATTAGCGATTTTTCTTTTATGCCAAAAATCATTAGGATATTAAGTAAAGATCATGTTCCATGAAGATATTTTGTAAATTTCTTACCATAAATATATCAAAACTTAATTTTTGATTAGTAATATGCATTGCTAAGAACTTCATTTGGACAACTTTAAAGGTGATTTTCTCAGTATTTTAATTTTTTTGCACCCTCAGATTCCAGATATTCACATAGTTATATCTCGGCCAAATATTGTCCTATCTTAAACCATACATCAGTAAAAAGCTTATTTAGCTGATGTATAAATCTCAATTTCAAAATATTTACCCTTATGACTGGTTTTGTGGTCCAGGGTCACATATTATTAATAAACTAATATTTACTGATATATGATATCTGATTACAAATATAATACATATTATATATATATAATTTTTATTTTTTCTTGTTTATTTATTGAATTCTTTAAAAAGGGGGGTTTCTAGGTCTTCTCATCAGAAATTAGGTTTTGATCAACAAACAATGAAAATTAGAGGGAACATCGTTTATGAGTGCATGTGGGGGTTACAGAAAACTTTGTTAATCAGTTGTGAAGGACGCATTGTTTGTCAAACGAAATTAAAGCATGCACTCACTTCACTAATGTGGTATCATGTGTTTTGGGGGCAGTGTTGATTACAGTCAGTGTTGTTTCTTCTCTGGCCGATAAGTGATTGTTTGTGAGTGAGAGAGCTGATGATTGTTTGTGTTGTTGTACCGTTTGGCCTGCGTTGGAGGAACGTTGTCGTGTTTTGGCAGGTGGCTCGGCAGCTGCAGCCCTCAGTCATTTGGATTGGCGATGCTGAGAAAACATTCTACAAGAAAGTTCCAAAGCTGGAGAAAGAGGTTTGTCTACCAGCAGGGAGAGAACATGTCAGCTTATATTCACAGTCAGTAGAACACTTGCTAAATAAACTCATAACTTTCAATCCATCCCGGCATACAACCTCAATACCAGACCATCAGCTGTGAAATTCTTCTTCATTTGTTTAGTCTTTCATTCACAGTCATCCAAGGTATGCAAACTCATTTTTAAAGACGTTGTCAGTGTGAGGAGGTGGCCTCTGCTGACCTCTTGTGGTTAAAGATGAAGATACACTGTGGTAATATTAATAGAGTGCTGCAGTGATGACATATTTTTGTAGGCCAACCTGGAAATTAGCATCACCCTGATTCAATCAACAACAAAAAACAACAGGTTTGGCCTTTAGGATTATTAAAGAAAATAAGCTCTGTCACCATCAAAACTCTATGATTCTTACATGTTTTGTTCATGATCACAAATGACACAACAAAATGAATTTTGAAGCCTAAATACAATCACCATATGTAAAAAGCGAAATGGTAGCTATTAATGAACTACACGTCCACAACAACTTCTGTAGTCATATTTAGCCATGTGTTAGTAGCCGCTTTTTCAGTTATCACAAGGGGGTACTGATGTTTATGTTATGGACCACTACATGAAAACATATTAGATTTATGTTAACCACAGACCTTATTTCAGGCATTTAACCAAATACCCATTCAAAAAAAAAACAGAAGTGCTATAATGCGAACTCATTTTGAGGTTTTGGCCTAAAAAAATATTCCTCCATAACTATGGTTTTCTTCAGTTCAGTTTTTTCTTCATTCTGTTCATTTCTAGATGGAACCCAAAAGACTAAAGAAAACCCTGCCGAAGGTCCTGAAATCTATTAAACCAGAGGACCGTGTATTAGTGGTGGGGACGACTCATAGACCTTTTGATGCAGACATAAAACCTTTCTGTAAAGTTTACAAGAAGATAATTTTGATCCCTAGACCAGATTATGCTTCAAGATTTAGTAAGTAAACATTTGTCTTTCACATAAGTTATTGACATATAGTTCAGTTTGCATTTCTATACTAAAAACTGCTTTATTTTATGTACTTTATATGAATTTTAAGAGGTGACAAACATATGTATCTTTAATGTTTAGCTCTGTGGAAGGAGCTGCTCCAAGCAGGTGGTGCTCAGCTGGGCCCTAAGCTGGATCTGAGCTCCCTAGCTAAAGTAACAGATGGTTACACTCAGGGTCACATCCTTCAGGCGATCCAAACTGTCCTGAACTCTCACCGCCTCAACCAGCAGACCAAGAGACCCCTCACGGCGGTGGAGTTCATCCCCCCTCTTGCAAGACAAGATCCTGTCTACAAAGAAGAGGAGGAAGCCTTTAGGGTCAGTTTTTTGTGATGCTTTCTGGACGGGTGCATGTGTTGAACCCAGCTATATATATAATGAGCGTACATTATGTTTGTATTTTCTGTATTGATAGGCATGGTACAGCCGGACACCTCTGGGCAAAAAACGGGCACGAGCGGCCAAGGCCAATGAGGAGGATCACAAGAAAGGGAAAACTAAAGGAGGAAAATCACAAAAGAAAGAAAAGAAGGGAAAGACTAAAAAGAGAAAGAAAAAGAAGTGAAAATGGACACTTTTAAACTAACAAAACAGGTGACATGGTTTGTGGTCATCTAATCGGAGCCTAAATTAAAATACAGCCACAGTTTCTCTTCTGGCCAGCAGAGGGCATGAGCACATCTCCCAAAGAAGAGTCTACTTATGTCTACCAGTACTGTACGTTTAATCCTTTCCTTTTTTGCTCAACAAGTACATTTTGTGGGGTGTTTTTTGTTTGTTTTGTTTGACTTTGTTTCTCATCTGTGTGTTTTGTTAGCATCATGTGACTTCTCTTCAGTTGTATTGTTGGCTAATTCTAATATTTCATACTTTGCATTAGTACTGCTGACCTATTGTAGTTTTCTGCAAATTGTTTTTTAGAAAAAAACAAAAAAAGTTTGGTTATATAGTTTTGTGCTAAAAATTATTATGATATCAAGTACAAAGCTGAGTGTATTGTTTAATATTTGTTTTGTGGTACTTTTTTAATAATGTGTGATTAATTAAAACCTGACCTAAAGCTAGAGAGCCATTAAAGGACAACCCTGACCTGAAATCTTCTCTCTTGACAATTACCTGAAATGATTGGCAAAAACATTGAAATCTGAATGTCACACTTGTGAAATAATAATATTAAATAATATAAAAAATATAAATATAATAATGTATAAATGTCATTGTGTTGGATAACAAAATATGAAATCAAAGGGCAGTTATTTTAGAGAAAAACAGCATACCTTTCATGCAAAAACATTTTTAGACAAAGAATTTAATTTAAATATAATTTATAAAATAGTTTTGAATTTTATAAATTTTAATTGATTAAATAATAGATAATGGCCTGGTTTCACAGACAGGGTTTAGACTAAACCAAGATTATGCCATAGTTCAATTAGGACATTTAAGTAATTTTTATAAACGTGCCTTAGAAAGAATTGTACTGGTGTGAATTTTGAGGCAAAATAAAGGCACTGATATATATTTTAAAATCAGTCAGAGCAAGTTTCTTTCAGTTGAAACAGCTCAGACTTCGATTTTAGGATTTCGGATTAGGCTTAAGCCTTGTCTGTGAAACCGGGAGATAATGTTTATACTGTAAAATTAAGACAAAAAGCATTTGGACACTTTGTGGTCATCAAACTACTATTGTGAAATGGTTAAAGAGATAAGGAATACTCATCATTTACTCACCCTCATGTCACTCCAAACCTATGTGCATTTCTTATATTTTGAAGAATGTAGGTAACCAAACAGCTTCCGTTCCCATTGACTTCCTTGTATTTTTGTCCATACAGTGGAAGTCAATGGGAACCAAAACTATTGGTAACCAGCAACATTCTTCAAAATATCTTCTTTTGTCTTCCACAGAAGAAAAGAAAGTCATGTTTGGAATGACATGAGGGAGAGAAAATGAAAACAGCATTTACATTTATGGGTGTACTAGCTAACTACCTTTAATTTAGTTCTGAAATAAAATGCCACCTTGGGCTGCAGTGCGACATCTCTGCTCAGGTCTCAGAGTATTTAGTGTTCAACGCTTACAAGACAGCCTGCTCTGCCAAGCAGCTGACCCACTTCGCTTCCTCCTTTAGACTCCTCTTCCCATGGGAGCAGATGCCTGTTTTAAATTCCTTCATTCTCAGCAATCTGTGTGCTACCCCTTGTTTGCAACATAATCAACTCCCTCACTTATCCCAGGTCATTCTTGGTATATTCCTCTCTCCTCTGTGCGTGTTTTTTTTTTTGGCTTGCCTTGTTCTATCTTTATCCCACTCTTCGACTCTGATCCTACTACTCTCCCCTCCTCCTCACAAGGTTTATAGGGCATGACAAACATAGTCACCTCAATGTGCTCTTTGTAGCTTCAGCTCACATCTAATTGAATTAATCAGGAATACGTGTACATACATGTGTGTGTGTGTGTGTGTGTCTTCTTACCCAAAGAACAAAAAAGAGCCCTAAAGCTGGGTGACATGTTAAGAGGAGGGTTTCTTTTTTTTCTTGACTTGCTAATTTAAATGCGAGATGTTATGCACATGCCCATGTGCACTGGCTTATATTTGCACACCTAATTACTGAAAATAAAAAGATGATTCGAAGTCATCATTTCCTGCAGTGCTCTTCATACTGTTTTTAATTAAATGCCTCGTTTGACTGTGCATTATTCTCATAGGTCATTTCCCCTACACATTTCTCCCCTTCAGGAGCGCTAATAATTAAACATTATTCAGATTGGATTAGTCAGATGCATCTTTTTGTCTCACTGAGACCTGAGCGCAGACCTTTCTCGCCCTGTGGCCATTGCTGTAAAATAAAGTACAGCAACTCCCTCATTTCAAGGGGCCTTTTAACCATTGTTTTGCAATTACTATTTATTTCCCTGTCCTGTGGCTCCAGGGTCCTAGGCTTTCTTATGCAGGGCTGCCTTTCCTGCAGCAAGTGGTGACCTCTGAGGTACTGTTAATAGTGATGCAGCCTGCCTGGGCCTTTACAACTTTAGCAACCCTAGGTTTGGCCTAGGGGCTGAAGGGTGAGACAGAGCCATTACGAAGTTGTCCCTGATTTAATGGAGATTGTTAAAGTGAGCCTTCAAAAAGGCCAGATGACAGGAGATAAGTGGGAACTGACCCACAGGATAGCCTCTCTTAAGCTGTCACATTTGACTATATCCCTGTGAGCAGAGTGCACGGTTTGCTCCTTGGGAATACACATGCATATGAGCTACACTGTAAAAACAAATTGGTGGCATTTACGGTAAAATACCGGCAGCTGTGGTTGCCAGAACTTCACCGTAAAAAAAATGGTAGCAACATTTTAGGTTTTACAGACTTAACTTAAATTATTAGTATTTCATTAACTGATGTAATGTTGATAAACCAACATATTGAAGTACTAATATCTGTTTTGAACCATTTTAATGCACTGATAACCACCAAAAACTGGTGGTGATGAGTAAGTCACATGATGAACCAAAGCTCATCACAAACAGCTTTTCTACTTGCTGAGGAGGGCAATACTTATATATAGAATGTGCACAGTATCTTTCATACAAACACTAAACACCATCACGGTGACACACATGATACTGAAATAATGCAATAAACATTGAATTAACAACATTAGATGTAGGATTAAACCCTAATGTACACAACTGGTAAGAAAAAACTAAGAAACATTTGTTATTTCAACAACAACAACAAAAAACCATCAAATATGAAGTATCATGCAGGGAATTCTGTGAGTGTCAATTTACGGTTTGTCACTGTAAATTATACAATGACTTTTTCTTTTTCACTTCCAAAAACCTTATTTTTAACAGTATTTTACTGTAAAATTACATTAAATGTAATCACATTTATTCACCGAATATAGTATGAAGACTTACTGTTACTTACTGTAGCATTTTTACAGTCTTTTACTGTTAAAATCACAAAAAAATGTTACAGTGTAGTGTACCGTTTAGAAATGACTTTTTTTAATATATAAAATAACAAAGAATCGGTGGCTTACGGTGTTACTCTGAAGAAGACAAAGCAGGAGATCATCTGAGAATACTCAAAAGCTTTCTAAATTATATAGATGGATGGATAGATTTATAATAAAATGGCTGCTGAAAATTTTGTTTTGTTATCACAGGAATAAATTACATTTTAAAATATATTTTTTATAATATTCCACAATATTACTGTATGTTTTATCAAATAGATCATTCAGTTTTGTAATAATTCTCAATGGCCAACTTCCTATATGAACTGCAGTTATTTAAGGTGAACTATGGAAGATTTTGGGGTAACAATGAACAAAATTGCACTATTCCATGAGTGCAATCAAAAATCAGTGCTCTATGTTCTTGCTGTACCCCAAACCAATTTTAGGGGTAGGGATTGGATTAAGTCTATATTTTTGGACAGTAATGTTGAGAGTTGATAAGAATTGACTGTTATGAACCATATAGACATCAAACTTAAGAGATCAGGTAGTTCTTTACATTTGTTTATTAATATGATCGTGTGTTAATGATATGTATATGTTTGTACAGATCAGTAGTTTGATGTTTACTTAATTTGATCCAGGATCAACAAAAGATGTTGATCCAGGAACATATCTTGGCAAAATCACGGCGACCCAAACCACTATGGTAAGCCTACAATGATAAATATTTTGAGCTTTTGGGTCAGATTTGGTGGTAAATTTCAAGTTTACGTCAGCAGTTTTGCTACTTACAGTACTTTAATATCTTGTAAGTCCTTCTTACTATCAGCAACTAGTCAGATCTACATTGAACTGGCCTACAGTGTAGGTATACACAATGTGATAATCCACTATTTTTATATACTTTATTTTCTGTATAGAGCCACTGATCTGCTAAATGCTGTCATGGGTGCCATTTTGTATTAAAAAAAAAGTGGTGGGAAAGGAGGTATTAATCTCATTAACCTTTCATCTGTTGGTCCAGAGATTTTTCAGGTTACTAGATGGTGGATCTGTGAATTAGCATTATAATATAAATAATGGCCTATTGATCAAGAGGTTTGGGCTCTAAACCTGCTGCTTTGCATATGTGGTTGCCTTACAGTTGGTGATAGACATTGACGTTGTGGCAGTACCAGCCTCATGTGAATACTTCATTTAAAGGCAGCTAACCGTGGGCTTCAGGACCCCTCCGTGGGGAGGAGAGAAACCACAGTCACCTCCTTTCTGGAACAATTATGGAGAAGAGAGAGAAAGAACAATTAGCCAGCTGGGTATTATAAAACAAAGCAATTAATGTTATGCTAATTAGCCCAACATCATGTAATTCTTTATCATTTGCTAATCATTTGTTAATTAGTCTGACTTTTTAATGCAGCAAATCAAGAGTGATTAATTTGAACACATTCTAGTATTTAAAAAACTCCATTGCAGAGCTGCACAGCATGAGTTTAATTCAACTTCAACCTGTTTTACATAATGCAGTTTTCCATAAATGCAATATGAGTCCACTGAACAGTTAAAATTGTTTGGCTTTTCCATGTTTGAAGAGATGTTTGGGATTAGGGAGCAATTTACATGCTTTTTACAAGCCGTTTGTCAAACAGTGGGAAATGGACTCAATAAACCTGTCTAGGATTCAGGCCAGTTGTGTGGATGAGAGAGGCCTGGCTACTCAGGCACTTCAGATAATCATTACTCAAACAAGGACTTACCTGGGGAGGAGAGCAGACTGGTTACACCTTTATAAATACTTTAAAAGGTCAGCTAACGTCTGTATGACAGAGCTGTTTATGCTGCTAGCGGCTGAGAGTGACAGGCTAGGCAGTGCTACTTACACCGAGGGGCTGCTGAACCAGGTGAGTGAGCAATTAAAGTCCAGGTGTGCTTCATCTCAATTACACCACTGTCCTGCCACTTAATGACCAACCAGCCTGCCCCGGTCAGAAGCTCCAGCAGGGGAATCTGGGAAATCACAGGCCTCTGCTGCCGCCTTTTTGGACAGGGGTGGAGAAGCCCTAACATGACTGTTTTACGTCCTTGAGAAACAGAAGTGCAAGTGATTATCCGCATAACTCTTTATTCAAGTCTAAGTTTTCTTCTTTGCCAGGTCAAAGTCTGACTGTCTCACGTCATTAGATCACTGGAGACTAAGGGTACATTCACATGACAACTATGTACTAAAAAAGGATTTACTGTGTGTTTTTGAAAAGTTTCACACACAGTGTTGTCAAAATCCCTGTTCACATGGATCCATGAAAACCAACAAAAAAACCTCTGTATTATCCATGCTAGGCCAGTAGTTGGCGATGCCACTAAAGAAACACACATTGCTGTAGACTGAACATGTAATGCGCATGTGCATGACGTCACTGCTTTCAAAAAAAATTTGTTTTTGTTGTTTACTCTAAGGTTTTCAAAAACCTGCACTGTTTTCAAATGTTTGCATTTTCAGGCCCCCAAAATGAAGGCCAAATTACACAAAAAGTTTTCCATATATAGTTGAAAATGCTATTGTGTAAACGCCCCCTAATATATGGGGGTGTTAAGGTTCAAAAGTTTGGAATTAGTAAGATTTTATCTTTTCTTAATAATCAGCATACAAGCGACAGTAAGGATTATACATTATTACAAAAAATGTTATTCAAATAAATACAAAGTTCTGTCGTAAAACTCTAGATGGCACAGGTCGATAGGTTCTTACTCAATCTGATACAGTATAATCACATCAGCAGCCAATGAGCTTGCTGCTCAACATTCAAATACTTGGCCAGTGCTTCTTGTAGCATTTGCAGCGTGCTTCAGAAAACCTCCACCTTCCCTAGCTCCACCTGTAAAATCTGCTAGGGGGGGGGGATTTCATGTATATTCTATATGGGGGTTATTTCATATATGTTATATGTGCAGCAGCAGTATTTCATACATACTCACAGCAGCATGTCTGTCGATGTATTGGCAGCAGCAAGTCTCAGTACTTGCTCTGCCGTAGCAGCAATGTACACATTAATATTACCATGTATATTACCTCGGGGGTTGTGGGTTGTGTTGACAGAAATGCTTTTAAACATTCTATTTACTGTATCAAAAAATCTGAAAAAGTGTATCACAGGTTCCATAAAAATATTAAGCAGCACAAGTGCTTTCAACTGTGATAACAATAATAATAATAAATGTTATTTGAGAACCATATGAGCATATTACAATGATTTCTGAAAAATCATGTGACACTGAAAACTGGAGCAATGGCTGCTGAAAATTCAGCTATGCCATCAGAGGAATAAAAAACATTTTAAAATAATTAAATAAAATAAAATGTTTAATTGTAATAATAATTACAGTTTTTTTCCTGTATTTTGATCAAATAAATCCAACCTACAACAATCTTACATTAAGAACTTACTAACCAATTTCAGGGAACTATTATTTAAATTTTTATGACCCTATTTTACCTCTCATTTCTCTTTGCCTAATAACTAGCACATTTTACCCTTCAGTTTTCAGCTGTTTCGTTACACCTATTTTTATTTATTTATTTTTTTTAAATGGACCCATGCAATTTCACAACAAGTTTCCTGTATATACGCCATTTGAGGTTTACTGTAAAACAGTTTTTCTACATCACCGTTCTTTTAAACATTCTATTTACTGTATCAAAAAATCTGAAAAAGTGTATCACAGGTTCCATAAAAATATTAAGCAGCACAAGTGCTTTCAACTGTGATAACAGTAATAATAATAAATGTTATTTGAGAACCATATGAGCATATTACAATGATTTCTGAAAAATCATGTGACACTGAAAACTGGAGCAATGGCTGCTGAAAATTCAGCTATGCCATCAGAGGAATAAAAAACATTTTAAAATAATGAAATAAAATAAAATGTTTAATTGTAATAATAATTACAGTTTTTTTCCTGTATTTTGATCAAATAAATCCAACCTACAAAAATCTTACATTAAGAACTTACTAACCAATTTCAGGGAACTATTATTTAAATTTTTATGACCCTATTTTACCTCTCATTTCTCTTTGCCTAATAACTAGCACATTTTACCCTTCAGTTTTCAGCTGTTTCGTTACACCTATTTTTATTTATTTATTTTTTTTAAATGGACCCATGCAATTTCACAACAAGTTTCCTGTATATACGCCATTTGAGGTTTACTGTAAAACAGTTTTTCTACATCACCAACTCTATCCTGACTGAGGGTCCAGAAGATTCTGCACGTGAAGGTCCTGCCATTCAGGAACATATTTTTTTGTTATTAGAATCCTCAAGGACATCAGTTAACATAGGGAATGTAGATGGTTGCATAATTCTGGTCTGAGTGGCATATTGGTACTCTGAATGTATTCCACCCCTGTGCTCCCTCATGATCAAGATCAACGCACTGTAACCTTGAGGATTTGTTATTATGATCATGGACACATTATAGAGCCCAATCTGACACAGTGACCTTGCCAACCACAGCCATTCAGAATCACCACCCCCTTGTCATCAGAGCTACATTAGAAAAACCCATAACACTCATACACCAGCACTTACACACAGGGTTACACACATATTCTCATATGTTTCCAAGCAAATGTTCATACATAAAAAAAAGAAAAAAAATATGCACACATAACTCACCATAGTAAGAAAGAGGTGATAAAGGGATGATACATGTCCCCAGAAAGCAGATACAGCATTTAGATGGTCTTTCGGATGAAATCATTATTATAGAAGAACATGAGGGCAAGAGGGTAGAAGATTAGTCCATTATGTTGTGCAGACATGCCGAAGAAGCCAACATGTCGTTATGACCAAACCCAGACTGAATCTGTGGCCATAGAAAGCTCTGCAGGTTTCCAGAGAATTGCTCATCATTCACAAACTTCTAGTTTTTCCCACAGGAGAGTGCAGATGACATACAAGTGTCCACGACAAATAAAAATAAATATTTAAAAAATGTAGTATAAAATATATGTGCCAAGTTTTAATGTAAGTTTCATGTTATATTTCATATTTGTAAAAAAAAAAAAAAGATTATCATGAAAATGTAAAAAAGTGATATAATCATTAAGGTTGAATTCCCCCAAAATCAAACCTTGTGTAACCTTGTGTTACTACAGTTCTTTATGACTTTTCTTCTGTGAAACACAAATTATATTATTACATACAAATATATTTTTGAAGAACACTTGGTTACTATTGCCTTTCATTGTATGGACAAAAAGCACTGAGACATATCTCAAAATATCTTCTTTTTTATGCTCCACTTCCACAGAAAGTCATAGAGGTTTGAACAACATGAAAGTAAGTAATGACAGATTTTTTAATTATTGGGTGAATTATTCTTTTATCATATAAAAAAAAGTTATTTTAAAATATGGTAAAAAAGTTGCCTTGTCATGAAATGGTCAAAATATCTGATATTTTAAAAGACTTTATGATTTAGACACGATAATCTGTCTGAGGTCTTCTATCAGTTCCTGTTTTATGTCTCTTTGCCTAATAACTAGCACATTTTACCCTTCAGTTTTCAGCTGTTTCGTTACACCTATTTTTATTTATTTATTTTTTTTAAATGGACCCATGCAATTTCACAACAAGTTTCCTGTATATACGCCATTTGAGGTTTACTGTAAAACAGTTTTTCTACATCACCAACTCTATCCTGACTGAGGGTCCAGAAGATTCTGCACGTGAAGGTCCTGCCATTCAGGAACATATTTTTTTGTTATTAGAATCCTCAAGGACATCAGTTAACATAGGGAATGTAGATGGTTGCATAATTCTGGTCTGAGTGGCATATTGGTACTCTGAATGTATTCCACCCCTGTGCTCCCTCATGATCAAGATCAACGCACTGTAACCTTGAGGATTTGTTATTATGATCATGGACACATTATAGAGCCCAATCTGACACAGTGACCTTGCCAACCACAGCCATTCAGAATCACCACCCCCTTGTCATCAGAGCTACATTAGAAAAACCCATAACACTCATACACCAGCACTTACACACACGGTTACACACATATTCTCATATGTTTCCAAGCAAATGTTCATACATAAAAAAAGAAAAAAAATATGCACACATAACTCACCACAGTAAGAAAGAGGTGATAAAGGGATGATACATGTCCCCAGAAAGCAGATACAGCATTTAGATGGTCTTTCGGATGAAATCATTATTATAGAAGAACATGAGGGCAAGAGGGTAGAAGATTAGTCCATTATGTTGTGCAGACATGCCGAAGAAGCCAACATGTCGTTATGACCAAACCCAGACTGAATCTGTGGCCATAGAAAGCTCTGCAGGTTTCCAGAGAATTGCTCATCATTCACAAACTTCTAGTTTTTCCCACAGGAGAGTGCAGATGACATACAAGTGTCCACGACAAATAAAAATAAATATTTAAAAAATGTAGTATAAAATATATGTGCCAAGTTTTAATGTAAGTTTCATGTTATATTTCATATTTGTAAAAAAAAAAAAAAGATTATCATGAAAATGTAAAAAAGTGATATAATCATTAAGGTTGAATTCCCCCAAAATCAAACCTTGTGTTACTACAGTTCTTTATGACTTTTCTTCTGTGAAACACAAATTATATTATTACATACAAATATATTTTTGAAGAACACTTGGTTACTATTGCCTTTCATTGTATGGACAAAAAGCACTGAGACATATCTCAAAATATCTTCTTTTTTATGCTCCACTTCCACAGAAAGTCATAGAGGTTTGAACAACATGAAAGTAAGTAATGACAGATTTTTTAATTATTGGGTGAATTATTCTTTTATCATATAAAAAAAAGTTATTTTAAAATATGGTAAA